CATAGGGGAGGTGCTCAACCCTCTGACCAAGTCCGTGGCTCTCCTCTGGAGTCGCTCCAACAGGCCCAGGTCTTTTTTATGTTGGGGGCCCCACATCTGAACACAGTACTCCAGGTGGGGTCTCACAAGAGCAGAGTAGAGGAGGGGGAGAATCACCTCCTTTGACCTGCTGCTAGTGCTTCTTTTGATGCAGCCCAGGACACGGTTCGCTTTCTGGGCTGCAAGAGCACACTGCCGGCTCATGTTGAGCTTCTCATCAACCAACACCCCCACGTCCATTTTCCCTCAGGGCTGCTCTCAAGACATTCTCCACCTAGCCTATATTTGTGCTTGGGAGAGAAGGCAGTATAGTTGCAATGGATTAGCAGCAGCCCTAAAATGGTTGTCTGACAGCAGGTTTCTGTCACTTGTGAAAATGTGTAAGGTGTGGCCATATCTACATATCAGAGATACCAGCTACCAAGTTACAAAACATACGTTCTGCAATCAAAGTACTGATCTGTGATAGAGAAATATCTAGATAATGTAACATTTTGTATCACTGAGCTTATTCAGGTTTACCTTTCCTTTGGGACTTTTGGAGTTAGCAGGATACAGAAAGATTCCTCCATACACCAGCGTGCGATGCACATCAGCCACCATAGATCCTATGTACCTCCCACCATATGGTGAACTGCCATCCTACAGAAAAACATTTAAATAGATGTAACTTTTGAGCACATCAGGTTAATCTGTTGGGGTTTTTTTCCACTCTCTTAGTGGTCCTAACATCTAACTCCTCCATTTTGTGATTCATTGATAACATTCAAAGTAGTTTTGGAGAAAATTTCAGTTTCTTCCTCATTTTCTAATTGTGAAAATCCAAGAAAAGAGATTGACAGAAGATTTCAGGATAGTGCCAACAACAGAAATTGCATCCCAGTTCTCCATTAGTGCTCTAACCCTTTGAAAATACTGCATTTGTAGGAGCAAAAATATTTAAGTGCTAGGAATTGGTGTTGGGGTTTTTTCTTTTGTAGCAGAAAAAAAGATCAAGGAGCAAAAGAAGTGATCTTTTCTACTTCTACCAATTTTTGCCTCCTTCTACAACTTTTTTGGTAAGCAAAAGTTAATAGTTGACTACTGATATTATTTTCTTATTATATGCCAGAGAGTACATTTTAATATCTAAATAAACAACACCTTAAGCCTGGCAAGATGCCAGATGAAAACAACAGGTTTTTTCAAAGTAAGATCAGGAAGTCAAGAAGGGACACAAACACTGAACAATAGTAAATGCTTACACTTTGTTGTCGATATAGTAATTCTAATGATTTATTGATGTGATAACTCCAGTGATGACAGGCATGAGGCATGAGAATAGACTTGATTTTTATGGGCGCTCCTTAGAACTTCAGGTCTCCTGACACCAGGAAACTTCAGCACCACAAAGCAGACCCTGAAACTACACTAGCTTTTCAAGTGAGAGGCCCCCTCAGGACCCAGTTTATGTTACCACTGAGCAATGACCCACAGCCATCCCCACTCAGCTCTCCATCTACTTGGACGTTGCAGTGAGGAAAAAACAACCTAACACACATGTCAATCAAATGTCTTCATCACCAGATGAGACATCCTCTCTGCTTGACTACCAAGTGCCTGGTTTTGCTTCCAGCACCATTACTCAGGTCCTTACCCCAGAAGGAAGATTTGGGGAAAAAAAAAAAAAGAAAGAAAGGAAAAAATATATAAAAGAGGTGCAGTGCAGTACTGAAGGATGGTGAAATATCTGGTCACATCAACTGCTGCTCTAATTATCAGTCCTACATAAACATACTTTTTAAATAGACAAGAAAGGAAAATAAGCTCTGAACAGTGCATGAGACAGTGATTGACCGTAAAGTTGGAAATTATGAGTGTTGCTTGTCATCAGAAAGTTTCTCTGAAACTGGATCTTTTACCTCAGGGAATTTCTTCTTTTTGAGATACTCTGTGACTGCAGGATCAAAATATTTAGCATAGCCTTCATTGAGACTGTAGATATTTCCCTTCTTTTTTATTTTCACATCCCTGTCCACCAGAATGAATTCTCCAATTGCCTAACAATAAGAAAGAAAAACAATTTGTTAACATTAATTGCTCATCTATTTACAAACCAAGGAAAAACCCATACACACAATTTAGGAAAAATTTACTACAGCTGCCACTTTCTTTAATAATTTGATACCTGTGAAAATGTGGTATTTGCAGTCTAGAAAGAAGTGTTTTGTTTATCCATAAAATGCAGACAGAATGCAAATCCTGGGGTCATGCAAGCTTCCTCACACTATCATTCCGAACTCTCCATCACTTTTCTGTGCCAAAAAATACTGCTGCCTGTAAATGTATTTAGCTCTCCACACTTTTGCTAGACTTACAATAAAAGTACAGCTCTGAGGAGTTTGGAAACTGAGTGGCAGTTGAAGGAACACACAAACATCTTCAAATAGCTGTAGACATTAATAAATTCACGTTTGTCTTAGCTTGGGCTAACTGGAAGCCTGGAGTCAATATCTGTAACTAAGGGCTAGTCTGTTTAGTTTTCACTAAATTTCCAAGTTAGTGCTAAAAATAAACAAAATAACGCATGCTCAAAGTTAAATCTGCTATCTGAATATGGACAAAGATACATGCAGCTGTTACTTAACAGGGAGCACCAAGGTGTATTTCCTGCTGCTTAACCACTGCCGATTCTAAAAATTTAATACTGGCAGGTGGCACAGACTGACTGACTGATTACAAAAAAAAAAGGCTCACTAAAGCAAACTACTTTCTGCTATGATCAATATGACTTTTAAAACTCATATGGTCAATGCATGCAAGAATGTCAAACACACCCACACGCGTCACTTACTCTTTTACACATCTCAGTGGGTTCTGAAAACACAGAAGAAGGTTAAATATTTCTGCTTCTCTGGTTTACTAAAGTCCTAGCATTAAGGAAAAGACAAACAAGTCTGAAAGAGCATTCTGCATTGCAGAAAAGAGAGAGTTTTTAACATCACATGATTTGGCATATGCTGTATATTTGCTTCACTGACTGGGCTCTCTTCCCATTGTTGAACCACACGTAGCACCGCTGCAGCGGGCAGGCAGAATACAAAAATCTCTTGACATTATGACTGATGGGTTTTTAAGTGTACTTCTTTTTTCCATGTTAGTTTGAAAATTGCTAATTTCTTTGACTTCTTGGGGGACAAACAGTTCTTATAGACAGTACCTTGTTATCCCTTGTAAAGAAACAAAGAAATAGAAGACGTCTCACCGGATCCAGCATGAAACAGTTGACGCCTCCAGCAGAAGTGGCCAGTACCAGCATCGTGGCACTCCCATAGAGGGCATAACCAGCTGCCACGAGATTACGCCCTGGTTGTAAAGCATCTTTCCCAGAAGGTTCATCAGGGGACATCTAGAATATGAAGGAGCATAGTCAACTTTACTTCACTTCTGCAGTTGGTACATAACTCGACTCTCTGGGATAAAGACAGTCTTCTACTCCATAACCATGCATGAGGTGGCACAAATGCTTCCATGATCCACAATTGAGATTCCTACAGGATGCACTAATACAAATTATATGGAGGAGACAAACACGTTGATCTAGAAATACTCTTATATAAGCTTAATTGGAATGCAGGAAGCAGGAAAGTATTAAGGAGATAATATAGAGCTGTGTACCTCCTTGTAGGTGATGATGGAACACAGCTTGGAGGAAAACTCCAAGGCACAGTTGAAAAGCAAGCAATGAAACATGACTCATGGAGTTCACAGCTGATTAAAAGTACTTGGGATATTTTTGTTTTCTTTTGCTTCATACAAAAATGAAGTTGAAAATAGTTACTTTGGGATATACAACATACAAAAGATGACTAAAACGGATCATTTGACTTACTTTTTCCCCCATCTTGTGACATGTAAGTCTGGTATTTCAATCTCCTTCAGACAAGGTTTCTGCCTTTCAGAGTTGAATTAGACACCTCAAATGCACATGCCATGTTTCAGCTCTGGTTTGTTTTTGAAGCCTGCCCTCAGGCTAACAAGACAATTAGTACAGAGAAGAACAAAACCTGAAAGCACATTCCCCAAGTAGATGACGACTCCACAAGTAGATGACGACCATGTGGTATTTTGTCTCAACACAAATATTCATGAAATCTAAGACCAGATTTGTTTCTGAGGAGTAATTAATTCCTTTAGCTGGCTAACTAAATATCAGCCAGGCTTCCATGTACATATAGGTACTTCATCTTCTAAGAGAGTAATGCAGACCCCTCACAAATGTTTTATACAAGTGTCTGTGAAATAAGAGATTTAACTTAAGGCTGGTCCTGAAAGCCTCTTTCACAAACAACTTTAGTTAGATTTGATTAAGTTTTCACATGCAATTTGATTTCAGCAAAAGTTACACAATCGTTGTTTTTCCTATCCTACATGAAAGCACTTTACCTTTCTATAGATGGCAAAGATGGTACCAATGGAAACAAGACAGTCAATGTTCGATGAGCCATCTAGAGGGTCTACACAGACTATGTATTTACCCTAGAAAATACAGAAGAGGCAACAACTAGATTAGTGACATTATTTACCCACTTGTCCCAAATAAAAATACTTCAGTAGGTAAATATTCTCAGAGACTTTTAAAGCAATATAAACTAAAAGGCTTTGATAGATTATGAAGGAAATGAATTCAAAGGTTAGAAATTCTTTGACCCAGGTTTCATCCTTGATTACAACTGCACGATTTGTGCCACAGCAGAAGCTGGGAAATCTTTTAAGTAAGTAATAGATGATGAGACAGGAAAGGTGAAGTCTTCCTACACAATTTTTAATCTATAAAAAAAAGAGAATACTTTTTCATTATTAGATTAGTTTCATCTATTTAATCAATGCTGATCCATTTTGATAGTCATCCTATAATATCTACCATTTAGGCTACACTTTCTCGTCTCTAACAAAATGGCTTTCTGATTTATAAGAAAAAAGACAAATGAAGAAGATTAGCTTTTTCATGTAAGGCTGAAATTAGAGAGATTAAAAAAAGCCTTTAATGCCTGACGTTCATAAACTATAAATTTCAGCTTAGTGCATGTTTGGCTTTAAACTCCTTAATGGAACTCCATGCTGTGAAAGGAGAGATGCTCAGAAATTACCTTAATGTGTCTATGGTCTTACTCTGTTTTTTCAGGGTTTTTCTCCCCCTGCTAAAAAAGAATGGTCCCTACCTATTGCCGTATTAATGATTTCTCTAGGTACAAAAAAGTTGCCAGTGCAGGGAAAACAGCTGAATCAACTGTACCTTTTAAATAGCTTGTTTTCCCTTTATTTTATCCACAGTCATTTTAATACAGTGTTTATTTGCTTTTCATTGGATTTCACCCTGCATGCCAGAAACTTATTTAAGTCCAGCAATGCTCTACTAGGCAGGTAGGAATTCTGGGTAGGAAATCTGATAAATGCACCGTATTAGGTCACATTTAGTTTAGAAAAGCATTAACACTGAGCCTCCCTCAGTGATCTTTGAGGATCTAAACCAATATTTGTTCATCTCTAAAGCAATCTTTGTTCACTCAATGCCAATAAAATCAATTTTGAAGATTTCTCAACAGGGAGAGAAAGAACTGCTTTGACAAATCAAACATTATTATACTTCCCAAATTACGTTTTAGTTGTTTGTTTTTGCTAAATTTTTACTCAGATTTTTTACATGGTCACACCAAAATATTAGCTAGGAAAATGGAACTTTCACTCAACAAGTGCATGCAGACTTGTGAACATAAATAACAATAAATAGGTATAAAATTATTTTTGTTTCATTGTTGCTAAGTCTTTCACGGGCTTCTAGGAGAATTTCCCTGAATTGAAGAACTCAAGATTTGACCTACACAGAATGGTCCTCAGTGTCCTACTTGTAAAGCCACTTTACAAAAAGGCTTGACTGACTCAGAGCATAGTTCCAGAGATCCGATGGGATAAACAAGAAATGGGTTTCCTCTGCAATTAGGAAAAGGTGGGAAACAAAAGGTGGGGAGGAACAACAGAGAAAAAAAAAACAAAAACAACGAACATCAGTCTTGAGAGCAGAAGTAAGGACAAATGTTGACCAACATTCTCTCCACCCCACCACTGTGCCCTCCATTTGCCAATATAGAAAAGTAAGTGTTTTCTGGAATTTTTACCTCAGTTTGTCGGATCTGAAGCAATACGCCTGTAAAGGCTGATTTGAAATCAAGCAGAGAGAAACCTTTAAAGCTACTAACCCTTTTTTCAGTTTCCACTATCACAGCATCTTTATTTTCTTCTGACACAATAACACATGTACTGAAGGATGACTTGAGCATGTTAATCACCAGGTCATTGGAAAGGATGTCCAACTTCTTTACTTGATCTCCTGTCACATTGGTAGACCCAGCAATTCCATACCTAGAGAAATGGCAAGAGAGTATTTTGTGAGAATGGTGCACTACATTTTCCAAAGTGCCCTGTTTCTGGCAACCTTATATTCGTAAAACATCTTGTAAAACAAACAACAATTTTGGATGATACCTCAGTTCTCTAAGCCTGTTTTCATTTACTGTCCAGTGGATTCTTGCTGAGCCCTGCTAACATTAGCTGTAGTGGCAAATCTAGAAGACACTGAATGTCAGGAACACAAAACAAGGAGTCACTTTTCAATAGTCCCTGACTATAGGCAAACACAGCCAGAGCAGGCTTTGAAGGCTGAATTACAATAATTGTGCTATTTAATGAGCTCTTAACTTTAAGACCTAAGCACTGCCCCTGAATCCTAGGCTCTGATATTGTAGTTGCATACCCTAAAAAACTAAGACTTCATTAGAGAACTTACACTTAAAACCTAACAACAAATCTGAGGACACTAGATATGCTGTAACTTCCTATGTAATTTGATCCTGGTTAGCAATGCCACATACAGATTTCAGTAGAAATACTTTCCTCACAGATAAACCAACATTTTAATGATTCAATGTTTTCAGTTTTGATTTTAACAGACAAGTAAACGTTTCCTTAGGAATAAAACTGAGAAATACAAATACGAAACACAAATAAAACCCTGCCAGCTAATCATCAGGAAGTACCAGGAGACCTTGTGATAGGTGATTTCGAAAGCATGCATAACACAGAGAGGGGAAGTGTAGCTCTGGGAAGAGAAAAACAATAGCTGGCTCTGCACACATTCAGATGACTCCTGTGTACTTCAGCTACAATTCATTGATTAGGCTGAATACTGTTTTTTCAGGTTTTCATAATTATGCTGAACATACTACTTTGAACGCACTGCATTTCTTCAGTTTAATGCATGAAACCAAGAAAAAAAAAAACTGGCATAACCATCTGATTTAGAAAACAATGTACTTTGAACACCACGCTTGCGAGCGGAGGCAGAAGTCCTCATCCTCAGAGCAAGAACTCCATATGGCCAGCAGCTACAGCTCTCACACCATGTCTGTTGGGGTCTCCTGGCAGGGGATGGTGGGGTGCCTTGTGTGAAGCCTGCAGCTGGGACAGGACTGTCGCTTACCCAGCTGTTCTGCACCTTGTACTGAGCGTACAGCTGAGCCTAAGGATGATCCAAATAAATGGGCCCCAGCAATCCCTATTTGTTCACATTCCCTGATAGACAACCAAAATCCCAGCAGTGATTATAAAACACAGTCCCACAGTGGGAGATGTGCTGCTCAAGGAGACTCACAAGTCCAAAGCTGGCTACGGCAGCACTGGTGGAGAGTCAAATCCACCACAGGGGATCATAAGGCAAGGCTGTCGGCACAGGTATCGAACCTATGGGCAGCTGTCAACAGACACACATGTAGGACACATAAGGAATGGGACCTTAGACTGTTACAAATCAGGTAACAGACAGGAAACCCTGGCCTTTATCGATAGACACAGAAGGCACATGAAAAGGCTAGCGCACAGTGACTAAAAAATCATCACAGTTATATGAAGTCTGAAACCAAGACAGAGAAAAATAGTTCAAATATGCATAAAGTAGAGGATTTTTATTCTCTTGCAGTTGCTTCTATTTTATTAACTTCAGTCACCAAATTTTTGATTTGATACATTTTATAATAAATGTTACTCTGTATTGCCAGAGGCCTTTTGCTCATTATATATTCCACTACATGGTTTGTAGAGGCAAATTCATTTTCTTTCTACTACATTTTCCTTCAGGCAATGAAGTAGCCCATGTCTAAAGCCCTGATCAGCATACATTTTGGCCTATCAAGTATATGTAAAATACTTAGGGGGATCAGTTACCTACAAGTAGTTTCAGTTATTTAACATTTCAAGAGCTCTGATTTCCTTCTGATGCACCTCCAGAGCAAGTTCTCTCTGACTGGTTGGCTACAGACACTACTGTTCCTAACCAGCGCTCTTTCTAAAAGCCTTAAGACATCCAAAGCTTCATGGAGAAACCCAAGTTGCTATGATGCAATATGAAAAAAAAAAAAAAAAAAAAAAGCATTGAATTTGATTAAATGTCTCATAGCATAAAATGGTGCTTTGATATTAAGCTACGACTACAATGAGCTATTATTCAGACATATTTTGACAGGCTTTGTCTTTCAGTCTGTTCAATTGGTCTTTTGATTCAAAGCACCCAAACCTGCTGAAGGTTTTCGTGAAGGTCTGTCAAAGACTGGCATGCCTTATATTATTAAAAAGTCACAGGACCCATTTCACTTCATAAAATCAAGAGTCCAAGATGTTATTAACAGCCCTGCACAAGGGGCTGGGTGGACGCAACCCCGCTCACACGCCTTCAGGGTTACACCCCCCACTCCCCCCACTTTTTTTTTAGGCTCCCCCGCGCCCGCGGGGATGCGGGGAGGTGCGGGATGCTCCCGGCGCACCCCCGGCACGCCGGCACTCACAGGTTGGCGATCCCTGCCTTCCGGACGGCGGTGGAGATGGCTTTGATGGCCGTGCAGAG